AAGTCACGGCGTGGACGGGGGGGCCCATCGTCGAAGGAGGTGCCGTGGGCTGGGATCCCAAAAAGGCGGTGTACGTGCCTGACGGGGGGGGGCCCGCAGGAGCTGACAGCCGCCTCTGCTCCGTGGTCGGGCCGCAGTGGGCCGGGGCCGCGAGCTGTGCCGCCGACATGGGCACGTCGGGACGGGGGGCCTGCGGCGCGGCGCAACGACATCGACTGCTTCCGCTGCGGGCGTAAGGGCCATTACGCCAGGGACTGCTGGGCCCGTGTCCCAGGTCCACCCCAGCAGGAGGCCTCGTCAACGGACGCGCCGGGGAAGGATTCTCCAGGACAGGCAAGTCGGTGCGCACCAGACACCCGGCAAGGCTTGACACTTCACTCATCACCGTTGTCGTGCGATCCGGGTATTTGTTAACGACGGGAGGCCATCGACTGGGCCATGTCGCTCGGTAACGCAGTGGCGTAAATTGGCACGGTGGGTCGTCGCGGCCACTACGAGTTCGTCCACTGTACCTGGTTCTATACAAGGGGTGGACGTGCGTATTTTGGTGGATTCCGGAGCGTCCGCGACCATTATATCGGATGTAATTTTCCATCTGTTGGGCATCCCACCAGAGACCGTGCATCCGGTTTACGGGTCGTGCGTCGCGGCGAACGGGGGTAGCATGGGCATTGTGGGCCAGGTGGATGCTAAAATATCTATCGGGGGAGTGTCGGCCTCGGGAATTGTGTTAATTTCGAGGTCTCTGGCAGTTCCTTGTTTGTTTGGAACCGATTTTCTGGCCAAGATGCCCATTCTGATTAGAATTAATGATAACTGCATTGAATTGCCGGGTGGCCGTAAGATTTCGTTTCTGCCGTCGCCCTGGGGGCGACCTGCTCCGGTTGCCCAGGTGCAGGCGCTGTCCGAGGTATCTGTTGACATTCCACCTGGCTCACAGATGCTTATCCCCTTGCGATATCGGAAGCCTGTGCCTGGTCGGCAAGGTGCAATTGGGGTTTTATTGTCGCCGTCCGCCACCATAACGGGCGGATCGGCGCTGGTTGGGGCGCAGACTATTGTCCGGCCAGACCAGCCGCCATTTTTACAGGTGCTTAATGCGAGTACCGAAAATGTATGTGTTCCGGCTGGTACGGTTGGCACATGCCACTACGGCGTTTACGGCGCAGGATTATCTGGGCAGCCACGGCGTGGTTGCTGGGGTTTCAGAGCCGGGAGCTGCGGATAATCGCTGGATCGCCGAATTGTGTGGGGAAAATCCTTCCCTTTCCGGGGAACAACGTTGTGCGATTCGTAAATTGCTATTGAGTTATTCGGATGTGTTTAGCTCCGACGATTTGGATTTGGGACGCACCTCGTTGCTTTACCATCATATTGACACAGGGGACGCTGCCCCTATTCGGTTAAACTCAAATCGGATGAGTCCGGCCGAGCGAGAATACGTTCGAGGGGCAGTGGATGACATGTTGGCTGCGGACATAATATCTCCATCTAACAGCCCATGGGGCGCGCCTGTTGTTTTGGTTAAGAAGAAGGACGGCAAGTTGCGATTTTGTGTAGATTTCCGGAAATTAAATAAGATATCTGTGGCAGATGCGTACCCCCTGCCGCGCATGGACGACTCCCTCGATGCCTTGTCGGGGGCGAAGTTCTTTTCTACGCTAGATCTCTCTTCGGGATTCTGGCAGCTTCCCCTTGACGAGCCCTCACGGGAAAAACTGCTTTCCGTATGCTGCAGGGGTTATTCCAATTCAATTGTCTTCCGATGGGGTTGAATGCTGCCCCTGCCACATTTCAAAGGTTTATGGAGCTGGTATTAACGGGGTTGCAGTGGGAGACATGTCTGATATATTTAGACGATATTATCGTCTTCAGCCGCACATTTGATGAACATTTACTGCGGTTGGAGGCTGTGTTCGCCAGGATGCGTTCCGCTAATTTGAAATTTAAGCCTAAGAAATGTCACCTACTGCAACGGTCCGTGCGTTACTTGGGGCATATCGTAAGTGCGGACGGGGTGGCCACGGATCCGGACAAAACAGCGTGCGTCCGTGACTGGCCAACCCCGGCCACGGTGGGGCATGTGCGTCGGTTTTTGGGGTTTGCCTCATATTATCGGAGATTTGTTCCGAATTTTGCGACGATTGCGAGGCCCTTGCACCTCCCTACGGGTAAAGGACGCAAATTTGGTTGGGGACAGCCGGAAGAGGCGGCTTTTCAGGGCCTGCGCGATCTATTGGCTACAGCGCCGACGTTGGACTATCCGGATTTTGACCATCCCTTCATTCTGGATATGGACGCAAGTGACATGGGCATTGAGGCGGTGTTATCTCAGTCCAAAGGGGGTGTGGAGCGCGTGGTGGCGTACGGTAGCCAGGTTTTGTCTCCTGCAGAAACCCGCTACTGCGTCACACGCAGGGAACTTTTGGCTGTTGTTTTTTTTCTCCGCCAATTTCGACCGTATCTCTACGGTCGTTCGTTTATTGTGCGCACTTATCATGCGGCCTTGTAGTATGCTCTTAAGATGGACCAACCATCCGGCCAGTTGACGCGTTGGTTGGACACGCTGCAAGAATTTTCATTCCAAATTCACCATCGGAAGGGGGTGCGTCACGCGAATGCGGACGCGCTTTCTAGGTTGCCGCAGCGATCCCCTTGCGCGTGTGCGTCTGGGACTCATAGGTGTGCGCCGATTCAGCCTCCCCCTCAGCCGCTTGCGTTGGCCGTCGAGGTGCTTGATGCTCCAATGGAGCCGGGACCGGCTGATGGGGTTTTGAATCTTCCAAGGGCTGTGTGGATTCGGGTACAAATGTTGGACGACTCATTGGTGTCCTTATGGAAGCGGCCTGCGAAGGAGAGTGGGGGTCCGGGTACGGGTGGTGGGCCGGAAACCACTCTCCGCGATGGTCTGCTCATGTGGAGGGAGGGATTACAGGAACGCTGGCGTCTGGTTGTACCGGCGTCCTTGCGGTATGAGTTGATTAGGACTCTGCATTGCGACACGCTCTTACATCTGGGGGTGCAGAAAACCCTACTGATGTTGCAGCAAAATTACTTTTGGCATGGCATGGCGACAGATGTCGTCGGGCACGTTCGCGCATGTCCCGATTGTGCCCGGCGAAAACCACCTAAACATCCTTATGTGCCGCCGATACAGTCTATTCAGGTGTCTCGAGTTAATGAATTGGTGGCGCTAGACATTTTGGGACCCTTCCCGCCATCCGTGAAGGGTAATACATACTTGCTGGTTGGGGTGGAGTACCTCTCCCGCTGGCCGATGGCCTGGCCGTTTCCCGACCAATCGGCGGCGTCTATTACAGACGCCATTCTATTTGGGTACGTTATGGACAAGGGTGCGCCGGAGAGGCTCCTCACAGACCAAGGCCGAAATTTTTCTTCTAAATTGTTGGGGGAAGTGTGTGCGGCTCTTGGGACTAAGAAAATACGGACATCTCCCTACCACCCGCAAACGGATGGTATGGTCGAACGGCTTAATCAGACTTTGTCCGCCATGTTGTGCCACACGGTGAGTCAACAATAATCTGATTGAGATTTGCATATCCCTGGGGTACTTTCGGCGTACCGGATGAAGCCGCATGCGGCTACAGGATATTCGCCGTTTTTCCTTATGTACGATCGTGAAAACGTGCCGCCGATGGATGTGCAATTGGGAACTGGAGTGAGGAGACCTGCTAAGCCTCTTCCTGATTACATTCAGGACACCGTTCGCCGTGTTACTGAGGTGCGGGAGGGGGCCCGCATGGCTACGGCCAAAGCCCAGGCCCGGAACGAGCGGTGTGCTCGACGCTCTAAAGGGGAGTGCCCCTGGAAGGTTGGGGACCTGGCCTGGCTCCATTGCCCACAGGTGCGGCCAGGTACCTCTCCTAAATTACACAAACCATGGCAAGGGCCGGTTCGCCTCATCGAGGTTCCCAATCCACAGTCGGCGCGTGTTCGGGTTGGATCTCGGCGTTGGTTCGTTCACACGTCGCGCTTGAAGCCATATGTGGCCCCTCTACCTGATGCGTCATCTCCTGAGGTTGCCTAGACGGGGTCTGTTGCTGCCGACTCACCCTTGCCTGTGCCTGTTGATCTTGCAAGAGCGCCTGTCGTGCCTGGTACAGACAAGCCGGCCGTGACACCGCAGGGGACGAGGGGCTCTGTTCGGGGAGTGCCTGCCACGGCTGCGAGAACTCCGAGCCCCGCGGCCCTTCGGACCCCGCTGCAGACACGAGTGCAGGACACCTCCGACGCTGAGCCTTCGGGGATACGGGACGGGGACGTTGGCGGGCCTCCAATAGCGACAGGAGGACTTCATCCTGTTGCTCCTAAAACCCCGTCACGTTCCCGGTCTGCGGGAGGGCCGCCGACCGTCCGGGACGGGCCGGCGACCCGCACACGCTCGAAATCCCTTACATTTCGTTGAATTTTATTGTTGTGTTCTTGTTCTTACTGTTATATTTATTGTATGCTTCGTTGTTCTTCAATGTGTCTCAGCCGTGGTCGCTCGCATTACTTGTTGTCGTTATTGTTCAGCCGAGGTCGGCTGGATTTTTCTCTACGGGGGAGGGTGGTGTAATGCGGGCGTAAACGGCCTCGCGGATGTGACGTCACGGGGGGAGGAGTTATGTCACGTGAGAGAGACGGATCAAGTCTTAAGGGGGAGAAACCGGAAGAGCAGGAGGGGAGTTGGAGAGAAATAGAGAGTGAGGCCACGCAGGGCGGGGAGTTGGAGGGTGGCGAGATCGCCACACACCCAGGATAAGTCTTGGCACCGTCGGCCAGCGGTGACCGAGCACGGAGGAACAGGGAGCCGGTTGAGGCTGCAGTGAGGGCAGCCGGAGGCCTGCACGAGGAGATCAGCAGCGGAGCTGCATCAGAGTGGAGTGAGAGGCTACGGGAGCGACGGCAGCATCGGGCTGCCAAGCGGGGGAGTCTCGGAGAGAAAGCCGTGTGGGGCAAGTGTAAAGAACCCGAATAAAGGACAACGAAGACAGACACAGTTGTCGAGTCTTTTATTACACATGCACAGACACAGTAACAAAGAAACAAACACAATAACAAAGACACACAAAGACAAAGATACGCACAGACACAGTAACAAAGACACAAACACAATAACAAAGACAAAGATACGCACAGACAGTAACAAAGACACACACATAATAACAAAGACACACAAAGGCATAAACACCAATCCACTTACCCGAAGACAAAGATCTCGTATAGCTTTCAAATAATGTTGAGTTAAGGGCTGTTAGTGAGTTTCACCTATGAAGGCCAGCCTGGGAGAGACCCGCCTTTGTATCCCCAGGGGTAATGTTTTACTCATCGCACCATGTACAGATAGTCCCCGAGTTACGATGGTCCGACTTACGATATTTCGATCTTACGATGGTGATAGCGATAAGACAAAATTGTTAAATATTTTAAATTTCGCGCGGCATCAAACGCAGCAGTGTACGAGGTATGAATATTGGTGAGTACAGTCCAATATACGTTACGATACGTTCAATGCATGTATGATACGTAGCTTTAGCGATTTCATTTTAGGGTTACCACGATACGATACGTTCAATGCATGTTAAAAGTTTTTTTCATAGCAGATCATATAGGTAGGCTAAGAATTTAACCTGTTTTTTTACTTTACATTTTACTGTGCAATACAGTATTGTAATTAATAAATACAATATATAGTTTAAACAGTACGGTACTGTAAATTGCTCTGTTTTGCTAAATTATCACCATTCTTTAAGACTCCTGCGTAGGCTGAGCCATCTTCGACTTACGATATTTTTGACTTATGATGGGGTCGTCGTAACGCATCTCCATCGAAAGTAGAGGACTACCTGTAGTCATTTGAGGCTGAGTCGACCTAGGTGAGACCCAAGACCAATTCATACAATCGCTATCAATGTTTGTAAACCGGTCATGGTCCTCCCCTAGGTCGACTCAGCCTCAAATGAGTTCCTGGTGCGGTGTGTAAACATTGTCAGTGGTGCTGGCCACCCACCAAAACAAAAATACACACAAAGACACACACACACAGACACAAAGACACAGTAACAAAGACACACACACAGACACAGTAACAAAAGACACACACACAGACAAAGGCATACAGACCAACCCACTAACCCAAAGAAAATTATCCCCCGTGATGCCTTAACAGACTGTAGGGGCAAGTGCTGTTTGCTAGTAGCACCTATGAAGTCCGGCACTGTGGCACACGAGGGGGTCGGTGACAAGCACCCCGCCAGACCCGCCTTCGTCTCTCCAGTGGCGATGTTTGCATATCGCAGCAGGTACTCATTTAGGCTCAGTCGACCGAGGGGAGAGCCTGGACCGATTCCGATAAACGTCACTGGTGTTGGTGAACCGGTCATGGGCCTCCCCTAGGTTGACTCAGCCTGAACATTTTTTTCCTAGTACTGTGTGTAAACATCACCACTGGGGAAACAAAGGCAGCTGCGCGTGGTGTTGACCACCCACCCCCTAGAGTGCTGTGCCGGCCTTCATAGGTGCTCGCTCACAGCACTTGCCCCAACAGCCTATTCACGCTATACAGGGGGATCTGTGTCTTTGTGTGCACGAGTCTGTGCGTTGTGCCCGTTTCTCTGCTCACACTCCGCGCTCTCAGGACGCACGACTCAGATCCAGAATCCTCACTGAGCTTCCATCACCATACACCCACAGAGTGGTGGACGGAGTGCAGCAGCTCCATAGAGTCGGCGCGGTAAAACGACAGCAGCCCCGCCTCCCAGTGCAGGTGACACCCGACTCTCCGGGGAGGATCCCTCACCGACACTGAGGTATCTACACCACCATGACGCACGTAGCAGCTGTTGTTATATTTATATAATACCCAGGATGAGTCGTTCTGTCCCAGCCCGCACTCTTCACCACGCCCTTTGCGTGCGATTATCCCGTACGTGACTCCAACCTCACAGTCCCCCGCCGCACCTCCCACGTCCACCTCCCAGTAGTGCTGACCCGACGAGAAGCTCTCGGAGCACAAGGCTTGGTAGTATATATCAAAGCGGTGTGGGTGATCGGGTCGACCCTGGGAGACAGCGGTCAGCATCACCGTCCTGAGGTCTGAGGAAATCTGGAGGTTGTTGTGGACCGAGTTTGGGTCCACAGTCGGTGAACGTCCGTCTGCAGTAACGATAATCACAGTAGCCGTGTTAACAACAGCACAACTATAACAATAGCACTCGTGCACTAATACGCACGGACAGTACAATAGAGCAATTCATAATGAGCAATATTACATAACGTTGTAATGCGTAGCTATCGATGTGATGACATGTGACGGGCACTTTGTGAATCCACTGCTGGATGAGGGCCACCCTACACCGTGCGGGTCGCGGGGCATATTTGACCATACTTCACCACACGGGTCACCGCGCGTTGGTGAAAGCAGGCGGCGCGGCCGGCGAGAGCACAGAAGTACAGTACAGCGGTGCGTTTGTCTGCGCCGCCCTCTGCTGCCCCGCGACGTGGCCCCGCGGCCTGTAGCACCTGCTAGGCAGGGTGGTGGCTGCCCCGCCACGTGGCCCCGCAGCCTGTAGCACCTGCTAGGCATGGTGGTGACTGCCCCGCCACGTGGCCCCGCAGCTTGTAGCACCTGCTAGGCATGGTGGTGACTGCCCCGCCACGTGGCCCCGCAGCCTGTAGCACCTGCTAGGCATGGTGGTGACTGCCCCGCCACGTGGCCCCGCAGCCTGTAGCACCTGCTAGGCAGGGTAGTGGTGGCCGCCCGTGCGAGTCCTGCCCAGGCCCAGACCCTGCGGGGCTTTGCGAGGTGCCAGGAGGTGCGGCGCACTGCGGGCGCTCTGGGCGCTGGGGCTGCACAATTTGGGGAGAATCTCTAAGTGAGATTTTTCTGACAGATATTGCGATTTGATTTGCGATGAAAAAATGTAAGTCAAGCTTCAGTTCAATATTCACTGTGTAATAGATTTAAAATACGTGATGGAGCATTACCACATGATACCATCAAGCTATGAACTGCTCTATACATTCTTATGCAAGGATGAGAGCCTAAAATATATGAATTGCTTCTAATATGTATTTATTAAAATGTTTTAATTTAAATCGGACGATTAAACATAGAACATTTGTTAAGTTAAATAAAAAAGTAATAATAAAACACTAAATAATTCCAATAAGAAAGTAATAGGACTTTTCAAATCGCAAAAAAATCGCAACCTTTGCGATTTTCAAATCGCAGCCTTTGCGATTTGCTAATTGCATTGTTTCAAATTGCGATTTCAATTTGAAATCGATTAATTGTTCAGCCCTCCTCTGTGTGTGGACAACAAACAAAAACATCTCCCGTGTCACCCTTCACAGACTGTAGGAGCAAGTGCTTTTGGTGAGCACCTGTGAAGGCCGGCACGGCACACGAGGTGGGTGTGATAGTGTAGTGATGTACACTCGTGTGTGTGTGATAGTATAGTGATGACTGCGGTGTGTAAACATCGCCACTGGGAAAACAAAGGCAGATCGGGCGTGGTGCTGACCACCCACCCCTCGTGTGCCGTGCTGGCCTTCATCGGAGCTCAACAACAGCACTTGCCCCTACAGTCTGTTAAGGCTATACGAGTGATCTGTCTATATAAACGTATCGGTATTTATTGATACGTGTTCTTTAGTAATAAACTTGTTGCATGTGTAGTGATTTACACGGGCAACTCAACTGTCTAATAGAACCTAAAGTTCCCTTTGATTCTGAGAGCTTCAGGTTGTAACAATGAACCCTAAGAATCCTCAAGGTGTTGGATCTCGCTGCCTCAAGCACTAATAACACTATGTAACACAATTTTTGTCCCTGGCTAGTGTTATCGTTTTTATTGCTTATGCCTAAAAATATAGAAAATGGCTATTATTCCCCACAAACTTTGCTTTTGTGACAAGGACAGTGATATTTTGAAATGTACCTATTTTTAATGTGATAACGGACGAATGTGTCTTTTCGTTCAAATAAAGTCAGCAAAAAAACAACATATGAATCGAAATGAACATATATTTATACTAAAGTATCACAAAAAATACTACAAAATATTTAGAAGTGAGTAGTTTATCGAGATTTACGATTGAACTGTAAATCACTTTCACGAATCAGCCCCCAAATGTAATCTCCCATCATGTTCTCGTTATCCTGTCCTTGGTAGTGGCGTTCAAAATCCAGTATATCCTGGTGGAAGCGCTTGCCCTACTCCTCCGAGTACACTCCCATGTTCTCCTTGAATTTATCAAAATGAGCAACAAGGATTTGGACTTTGAGGGACATCCTACAGCCAGTCTTAATCAGCTACATATAGTTTTCGGTCTTGTGATTGCCCAGGAAGCCCCAAACCACTACGACAAAGCTGTTCAAAGCCGCTTTTTCCTTACAGTGAGCTTCTTGGGGAATTCATTGCACTACAGGATCTTCTTTATCTGTGGTCCGACAAAGACACTGGCTTTGACCTTTGCCTCAGACAGATTAGGGAAGAAGTCTTGAAGGTACTTGAAAGCTACCGAAACCTTATCTACAGCTCTGAAATATTATTTCATGATGCCCAATTTGATGTGCAGTGGTGGCATCAGCACCTTCCGGGGGTCCACCAGTGGCTCCCACTTGACGTTGTTCCTCCCAACAGAGAACTTGGTCCGCTGTGGCCAGTCCTACCTGTGGTAGTGTGCCTCGGTGTCCCTCCTGTCCCAAAGGCAAAGATAGCAGGGAATCTTGGTAAACCCACCTTGGAGACCCATTAGGAATGCCACCATTTTGAAGTCTCCGATGACCTTCCAGCCATACTCATCATACTTCAAGGCATCCAGCAAGGTCTTGATGCTGTTGTAACGCTTTTTGAGGTGCACCGAGTGAGCCAGCGGAAGAGACGGGTACTTGTTACCATTATGGAGCAGCACGGCGTTGAGGCTCCAGGATGAGATGTTAATGAAGAGGCGCCACTCATTCTAGTTACAGGCGATTCAGATTGCCTCAAACAGACTGGTCACATTGTGGCAGAAGCAGAGCCCATCTTTACGGATGAAGAAACTGCAAAAAGGCTGGTGACGCTTCCTCTGATCTGCGACTTGCACACTTGCATCCAACAAGTTTAACGGCTTGAGCCTAGATGTCAAAAGCTTGGCATTGGACTTGGTCAGACCAAGATCTCTGATCAAGTCGTTGAGGTATTTTTGGTTGGGGTAGTATGGGTTTCTCTCCTCAGCTCCACCTCTGAAATTGTCACCTGGATCTACAAAATCTTACTCACTCTCTGACTTGCTGCTCTCTTCTAAAGACGGCTGCTCTCTCTCTCTGGAGGAGTGGGTGTGGGGAGCTCATTGCAGTGTGACACCGGGGCGATGGATAAATGAAGGTCCAGATACGTAATATCAGATGCATTATTGGCAGTCTGACGTTTGGAAGGGTTCACCATGTAGAAGTAGCAATTGCTTGAGTGGTCAGTGGATTCCCGCCAAATTCTTGGGATAGCGAACTTCATGGCTCTTTTTTCCCCTCTGTACCATCCTACAAAAATACATTTATTTCACCCATGACTAATGTGTAATAGATTTTCGCAACATTTTTCATATATGATATATTTTTTCAATAACATTGAAAATTGTAAAACATTTTAAACCTTAAAAAAACTTTTACAATGACATTTTTTAAAACAAATTTCATAACATAAAATTCCAAGCAACAATCGTCCATCTTACCTTCCAGAGTTTTTTTGCATTGCTCGCAGGTGAAATGAGGTCCCAGGGTTTGTCTTGACCCCCGACAGGCATGCTGGAATATGCCTTGTAGGCCTCAAAAATCTTGACAGATGCTTCCACAGAGTACGTTTTCGCTCTTGTCTTGATAAATTGGCCGCAGACATAGCAAAATGCGTCTGCCGGATGCTTGCAGCCTCTTGATGCCATCTCATAAAAATGAAGATATGCATCCACTTAGGCAGCAGGAACTAAACTGAACTGGTGGGCTTAAGGCCCTTATATTTATACTTCTTTTTATTACTGGAAAGTTCTAAATTTTCTAGAAGGTACTACTCAGCACTGAATCTATTTGGAATTCTCATTGAAAATATGTAAATTTCAAAATATCACTGTCCTGGTCACAAAAGCAAAGTTTGTGGGGAATAATAGCCATTTTGTGTACTTTTGAGGCATAAGCAATTAGAAAATAACACTTACTACCCAGGGACATTTTTTTTATTACACAGTGTAATGAATCCTAAGAATATCAGCCATAGCTGTGTGTGTCAAAGACTTAGTGCCGTTGATGCTGAGAGCTTCAGACATTAACACGGAACCCTACACATCCTAACTGTGTCTGAGTCTGTATCACGCTGCCTCAAGCACTAATAATGAATCCTAAGAATATCAGCCATAGTGTATCTGTGTAAAATACTCACACGCAGTATAGCAATAGCATCCTCACTCAATTATACACACATGTAGGGTTAATATAGCTCAAGCAATACTCCTGTACACTAGTGTGTTTGTGCTGTATGTGAACATAGAGGTATTGCAATACATGGGCAATAGCAATGTATCCGTTTGCACAGTGATACATGTGATTAGCCACAGCGATAGCCCAGTCTGGCTCTGTGAGCCTTGGGTATTAACATAGAACCCCAATAATCTTTAAGATGCCTTAGTAGGGATATGGCAGCCTCAAGCATTATGAATGAATAATAAGAATCCTTAGGCTGCCTTAGTCTGGTTATAAGCCTACAGCATTAACAATGAACCCTACGCATCACTACGGTGATGTAGTCTGGCTCGAGTCTGATGATGCCATCCATTACAGAAAATACTTTTACTCGTAGATTCATCTGCTACGATGGTTACTCTGGCCAACAGCATCTTCACTGGATAATACACACGTGTAATATCAATGGAGCTTATGTAATAGTGAAATACACTCGTGTGTGTGCTATATATTATTGTCTAATGAATACATTACAATCGTAAAGTTGATGTTTGCACGTGCAGTGTAGTGATAGACAAGGTTGACCATGGTTATGCCTTAGTCTCGCTCTGTGAGCCTCAGCCATGAACTGGGGAACCTAAGAATCCTAAAAATGCCTTAGTTTGACTATCTGAGCATCAGGCTGTTGACATGAAGCCTAAAAATCTTCAACGTGTCTTAGTCTGGATGTATGATCCTTGGGCATTACCAATCGACCCTAAGTTTATATAATCCATAATAGAGGTTTTTGGGGGTTAGATCGCTTAAATATATCAATGTGTCGTTAAAACCCACCATCAACCGACACAGACAACTAGTAAGGGTTGTCACGTAAACAGAACATGCCAATTTGTCACTAGTACAGCACGCCGGTGTGTTGGAGAGCCAAGCCACAACATTATTGAAATTTATATTGATGTAGTTATGAAAGCCATTTCACCATATGAATTCTGCAGGCCGATTTTGTGTCTGCAGAGCTGATGCTTACAGGACGTACCCGGTACTCGTTTAAGCCAAGGGTTCATCTGGGAGAGGCTCAGAATTGGTTCTGAATCCACTCATCATTGATGATAGCCATGGCCGTGAGTCACGTGGAGGTGACCATGTTTGTAGCTCAGTGCACAGAGCATCCCATCATCATTTCACATCCGTATTCACTCTCGCTCATGTACACATACGCACACAAACAGACAAACAAGCTGGAGGGGCAAGTATTGTTAGCGAGTGACACTTCAAGGCCGGTATGGCACACGAGGGGGTGGGTGGCCAGCACTACGTCAGGCCGCCTTTGTCTCCCTAGTGGCGGTTTTAACACACTACACCAGGTAGTCATATGAGGCTGAGTCGACCTAGGGGAGGACCATGACCGGTTCATAAAATCGTCACTGGTGTGGGCTATGGACAGGAATGGAATTTGTGTCGCGAGGTTCATATTGTAGCATGCTAACCACTATGCCACCGCTCAGCAACATACACCCAAGACACAATTACATGCACAATAACACACACAGGTGGTAAGAGTCCGTGGAACTCACACATGAATGCCAGCAGGTTGACCACAGCTCCCTGCAGGGCGCTGATCGTAGCGATGTCTTCTTCACCGGGAAATGAGGGTGGATCTCCCTTTTGAGCGTCTCTCCTGTGAGACCAGAACCAGCAGTGACACACACAGCCAGTGTCTTACACAGCATCATTACACACAGCATCATAATTCACAGCATCATCTTTCACAGCATCATCATACACGGCATCATCACACATGGCAACATTGCACACAGCTTCACAGCACACATCATCACACAACCCTTGTCTTACACAGCATCATGCCACACATCATCACACAACACAACATAATCACACAGCATGATCATCATACATCATCATCATCACCACACATCATCACACAGCCCAAATTCCACACAAGGCGTCACCCTGTGTGTTTATTTGTGCGAGTTCATGAGTCCATACCGGTTTGTCTCCTTCAGGTGAACCTGCAGGAGTCAGACACAAGGGGCGCTAGTCAGTTCACCTCCAGCCACGTTAACCACACGGTGATTGGTAGACACGACGATCTGGGCTGCGCTCAGCCATTCGCGGATACCAGTGTTGTTGGTTGTAAACAAAGAAAAGCCGTGGACTCGTTTGGACTCGATGGTTCTCATCAGCAAAGTGTGGCCTCTAAAACCGTGACCACATGGTACCCGATGTCACGGGCAGGAGGCGCCCATAGCACTCGACATCGAGTCGCAGTGATTGTTAACCAACATTCAAAATAATGATCCACTGCGAGAGTGAATTACACCCTGAGCGTTGCGTTACCAGAGTCCATAGTTTAGCAGGGTTAACATTTGTTGAGGCAGGCAATCTCGGGATTGGTGTCAACGTTCTAAGACTCATAAGATGTCAGTGCTGAAATATAACTCCCTCTGGCTTTCCTGATGTGAAAAAGCCCTTCCGTTATCAGCATTACTATTGGTTGGTATACATTTTGTTAAATTTATCATTTAAATTTAGTGTCAAGTGGCCTCAATCTGATGTACATTACAGGATGATGAGGTTACAATTTTATGTCAATGCCTGCATAGATTAACAACCAATTAACTCAAGGGATTTGTGTGTTAATCGTTTATTTCTTCTTTTGAAATTCAGCGGTAGTTCCTATTTTTATTAAAACATACAAATTCAAGTTGGTGAACTTAACTCTACGTTTACTTTTAGATCCCATGGGCTATATTTTGCATTGACAATGGAAGTGGCGTGACATTGTGTTTTGTGTTGCAACGCATGTGCCATGTTTACAAGTGCAATGAACACGCGAACAGGGACACTCGCCCTGGATCCCTGAATGCTCTACCTGCAGGAACATGAGCGAGTCCCTCTCCTCCTGCAGAGTGCGCAGGCGCGTGGCTGCTGCCTGGAGCTCGCTGATCTCGTGCTCGTAATGAGCGATGTTCTCCTCAATCCGGGACAGCAGCTCACGCCCCTTCACGTCCACGCGATCCAGAGCTGCCCTCTCGTCCTCATCCAGCGTCACCCTCATGTGGGTGAACTCGTCTGAGATGCGAGCCTTGGTCTGGAGCATGCAATCCTGCAAAGGGCGTGTGATGAATTCTATAAATTCATATTCCATGCTGTTAAGACCAAAGTCACATTGCTTTCCGGTTTCTCGAAACCTATTTTCCCCTTATTCCACGTTATGTCTTTGGACTCAAATCTCATTGAACAGGTCGATAACTTCAGGTATCTAGGTGCTATCTTGCCCTTCACATTGATAGTATCGCCAGTAAGATTTAATAAACGAATCCTCTATAAATAAACACATTTTCTCACCTTGGCTCCATCTTGATATAATCCAAGCCGCCATCTTCCCCATCTTTGACTCCTGTTAAATCATCAACCGCCTAGCCTCTTGTTCCATTATACCACCTGGCCGCCCACTTTGACCTTGATGCCTCCATATCAACACATTATTGCAACCTCTGTATCACCTCCAATTTATCCCCCCTGGATATGTTTAGAAACCATCACTGGGCTGTCTTCATCCTAAGATTCCTTTTAAACAAATCCGCCAAATATGTAAGGACCTCTTAACTCCGCAAATTCCCAGTCGCAACCTCAAAAGTACCTCCCTGTTCTCTCTAAAATTACCTTATATTAAAACAAGGTTTTGCAACGCGTCCTTCCACACTGCTGATACTACTCCACGTTACTGGAGTGTCCTTGCCTCTCAGCCTAGGCTGGGCTCCTTCCCCAGCCTCCAACACGATTCGAGAGCTGCGTGATGAGTGAGATATGAACCAGTGCCTGACTCTACCTTCATCAACCTGCATTGACCCACTCAATTAAGTATGGCCAACTAGCCTCAACGATCAACACGATGTTGCGGAACCTTCGTCCAGAAGTGTATTGGTGAGGATCTGTAAATGTTCTTAGGTTTTTTCGGTAAAGTCACGTAGGTAAAACATTAAAATTAATAAAAGTAAAATAAAATAAAAATCACGACGTTTCGGAGGCAACACAAGTCTCCGTCATCAGGTGGGACCGTCACAGCCAGATTTGCTGCATCAAGTGAGGCAAGGATTCAAGATGTAATCCCTTAAATGCAAGTTGAGGGGGGAGGAGAGGGGAGGGGGAGCTCATCAGAATGTGGTAGCCAATGAATAAAACTTATCAGGAGGGAGGGGAGCGGGGCTAAAAGAAGGCACGAAGTGCTACGTAGAACGTATCGGGAGGGGGAGGGGGGCGGGGCCAAAAGGATGGACGACGTGGTACACGAGAGTCGGCGGCGTGGACGTGGTTGTGTGCAAGCAACTATTGTTGCACACGCCAACGTATTGGACAGAGAGGGGGAGGGGAGGCCAAAAGAGAGTGTGGGGTGCAAGTGTACGTGGACATGTGTGTGTACAAGCACCTGTTGATACACATGAGAGAAAAGGAACGAAAATGCCCATGTTCATACCAGTGCTGGCTGAACAATAAAGAGAGTACTGTTAAACACTGGGGATGTTAACACTCGGTAAAGGAAAGTAAAATAGTGCCTGTCAGATAAGATGGTCCAAAAATGTGTAATTAAGTCTTTTTTGCGTGGTTGATAACATCTTTCCAATGATTACTACGTTTGTACCCATCATCACGGTTGAAATTATGTCTGTATTTGTATATTTGTATGGCTTCGTGTACAAACCTTTGATGGTAGCCAGGAGGTTTGCAGAGAACCTTGGTCTCGGAAAAGACAATTTCATGAGAGCCCACCGAGTTGTAGCAATGATCGGCAACGGCCGAAGAATCAGTTCTGCCGTGTTTCAGATCTGACTTGTGCTCGCGGACACGATCAGAAACATGACGTTTCGTTTCTCCAATTTAGCAATCACCACAAATGCAACTCAATTTGTAGACTCCAGGATACTGTAAGTCAGGAACGACATCCTTCACAGATGGAATCAGATCACGGATTTTATGCACTGTACTGAATCGGACTTGGATCTTATGTTTGTTTAGAATTTTGGAGATCTTTTTGGTCACGCCTGCTATGTATGGTAACGTGATAGTTTTGGTCGGAGTTTCATGTGGCTGTTTCTGTGTGGTGGGAGAAACAGCTTGGCGGATAGTGCGGTCAGAGTATCCGTTCATCCTGAGGGCCCGATGTACATGTCTTAATTCACCGGCCAAGTGGTGTTGGTCAGAAATGCCATGGGCTCTGTGGTATAGCGTTTTGATGAGAGAATTCTTTTGAGATGGGTGGTGGTGGGAATCCGGTTTCAAGTAGGAATCTGTGTGGGTGGCTTTCCTGTAGACAGAATGTCCCAAGGATCCGTCAGGCCTCCTCTCAAACAGAATATCCAAGAATGGTAGTTTACCGTCTTTCTCCACTTCCATGGTGAATCTGATGGATGGGTGTCTAGAATTGATGTGGTCCAAGAAGTGGTTCAATGCTGGGAGGCCATGTGGCTAGATGACGAAAGTGCCATCCACATACCTCTTCCACAGGGAAGGACGCAGGGTGGATGTCTGGATGGCGTCTGATTCAAACTTTTCCATGAACATGTTGGCTATAACTGGTGACAAGGGGGAGCCCATAGGGGTACCCTCATTCTGTTTGTAGAAGGTGCCATTCCAGGTAAAATAGGTGTTGGTGAGGCAATGCCTAACCAGCGCAGGTGCATCAGAATTCAATCCATGTTGGACTAAGTCCTCAATTATTATTAGGGTGTCCGGTACTGGGACTTTGGTAAACAAAGATACTACATCAAAGCTGACGAGGATGTCATCAGGAGATAGTACCATGTCCTTAACCATAGAGACTAATTGGGTTGAGTTGAGTACTGCCTAAGAGGTCTTGCCTGTGAAGGGAAGGAGAGTTTATCGTCGACACGATGGGTCGTAGCGGGGTGCCTTCTTTATGGATTTTGGGAAGACCATAGAGTCTGGGAGGTCTAGCCGCCGATGGTTTTAGAGAGGAACGTTTGCTTGGTTCGATTAGGGAAGTCGAACTCGTGATGATACTGTTGGTTTTTGTCGTTAGGCTTTTAGTAGGATCGTTTTTAATTTTTACTTTTATTAATTTTAATGTTTACCTACGTGACTTTACCGATAAAACCTAAGAATATGAATCCTTGCAGTCACGAAAGCTTCAAATCTAGGATCTGTAAATGATTTACAAAAACAGATAAGCACACGATTCGCCTTCTTCATAGATTTATCTCTGCACATCACCAATAAAAGTATTTTGTACATAATCTATTGGCCCCACGGCCTTTTGTCACTGCATTATTTTATCAGTACAGGCAGAACTCGCTAAACGCTCAATATGCTTCTTGCAGAAGTGAGCACTTATCGAATCGGCGCTAAAAGTGGTCATACCGTTGCATATATGGGGATGCGTTCCTATCAGGGTTATTGCTTTCGGATGACCAATATATGAGGGATTCATTGGGGTATTGGTAAAAGCACCAATTATTCAAAGATAGTAAACCATATTTCATGAATACAGTTTTTTTTTACTATAATAACCTCATTAATAATGACGTACTGTGCATAACACTGTACTCCTGCTACCATGGCAGCAGTGGGAGACGAGGGTGGAGGAACTGCTGCACTCTCAGTTCGGGGTCATTCTCAGAGAAGAGCTCCAGGACCTCCGTTATCTTAGCGGTGACCTCAGTTTACATTTCTCTGGTCAGGTTTCTTTTAGATGGAACCTAGTAAAGGCATATTTTATCAAACGTTTGACCCTGTTACTTATTGATTGTTATTGAAAAAGCCAATCGTATGGGGAATTGTTAGCGTTTGAAACTGAATGGTAAATTTGTGTCTGATGGAATGAGTGGTATTTTTGCTCCAACAATCAGCTTTGCTTTGATTATACGTATTTGTATTTAAGTCTTGTACCATTACATAATCCTCACAATGACATTAGATTTCTAATGACCATGATAACGGCTCCTACTTTAAGTTTTAGTTCATGAGGAGGCATTCCGGTTGGAGTAACCCTTTAATAATTATTCCAAAATGCAAGTTGATCAGCTGTATCATCACAATTGTATCCATGCTTTTTAAAACCACTTCAGCTCTATTAATATAGCTGAGTACTTTATTGTTGAGCTCAAGAGAGTCTCCATTTGTAATAGTATTGCTCTTCCTTTAAGCTCTTTAGGAGTAATCGTAGACAAGTCAATATCATCGTTGCGCAAATGTATCTTGATTTTCTGGATAGCAGTATGAGGGTAATGTCACTGTATCACCTGTTTTCCATCACCAACGTTCAGGAGCCATTCCACAAATTCCTTTTCACTTTCCAGAGCTCGCATATTCTGGTTCAGCTTCATCACCTGTAATTCTCCCCAAAAACGATGCTTCTTTATACAACTTGCAACAGTAAGAGGCCGTGGACCACGTAAAGTAACAGGTAGGACTTGCCTCCAAATCGTTTACATTTTACTGTTTGATCACCCAATAATCTATAAACAGTCTGACACACGTGTGTGCTTCATCCACGACTGTTCGTTTCGATTGGAATAGATTTCTGGTTTCTTGTTTGGCTTTATATTGCAAATCAATGTTGCTGTTATTTTAAAGGGATTTTGGAGACTGAATGAGCAGATCAGCCTCCAGCTAATAGTTTTGCTGGTATTCCTGTTGACGCAACTGGTGTTGCTATATCTCCTCTAGTATGAAGTAGTATTGAGTATACGAACGTTTTCCCCATTCCAGCAGGACCATAGAAAAACCTTTAGTGATATCATCTGAATCACCGTACACCATGTTTAATAACACTGCGTGAAAAAACTTGTTCCTGTGTAGTAAGTGTTGTTTCCTAATTGCTTATGGCTCAAAAGTACAGAAAACGACTATTATTCCCCACAAACTTTGCTTTTCTGACCAGAACAGTGATATTTTGAAATTTACCTATTTTACAGAACATTCCAGATAGATTCAATGCTGAGTTAAATTTAAGTAGCTTCTAGAACATTCTAGAACTTTCCAGGAATATAAATAGTATAAATACAGGGGCCTTAAGCCCACCAGTTCAGTTTAGTTCCACCTGCCTAAGTGGATTCATATCTGCATTTTTCTGAGATGGCAACAAGA